TGCTACAACCGGCTGGAATAAGGCTACAGGCTGCTAACCAAACGAAGATGGCCACCTATGGCCAGAAACTCAGCATGCTCCGCCTTGGACTATGTCGAAGCTTTCCTTTCATTCTTACGATCGCCGACCTACAGAAGCCTATCATCGATATACACTTTCTTAGTAAATCTGCGTCGCGTGATGAAACCACTTCGTTAACTGCTTCTGACTAGCTGACTGCAATTAATTCCATCGGACTTCGAGTCCTTATGTTCAATCGTTCGCAGTATTCCGAAATGCTGCAGCATTTTCCTTCAGCTGTCGGAGTAAATAACGATACGACGGAATCAAAGCACGATGTGTAACATTACATCGTCACAAGTTGTCCGCCCGTGATGGCGAAACCAGGACGACTCACACCTGAGAAACCATAGGCTACTAAGAAAGAGGTTGAGCACATGCTTAAGCTTGGGATCATTCGTCTTTCAAACAGTTATTGTCGATCGCCTTTGCACCTTGTGCTTAAAAAACAGGTGATTGGCGCCCATGTTGCAATTATCGAGCATTGAACAATGGCACAGTTCCTGACAAAGATCTGATCCATCATAGACAAGATTTTTCATTTGGATTGGCTGGAAAGTCGATGCGTCCCAAGATTGATCTTGGGCGTATCACCAAACTCAAATGGCCCCGAAAGATATTACGAAAATGTCAGTGACCAAGCCTTTTGACTTGTACAAATTTTTCTGTATGCTATTCGGTCTCCGAAATGTCGCGCAATTTTTCCAACGCTTCCTGGACAAAGTTCTCTGTGGTCTCGATTTTATCTTTCTTTGCATTGATGTGTTAGTTGCAAGTGCTTCGACCAACGAACACTTAACATAACTACGAAAAGTTTTCGACGTTGCGAGCACCATGGTATTACCATAAACCCTGATAAATGTGTACTTGGCAAACCGTCGATCGACTTTTTAGGCCACAGAATTGACAGCAACTTTTCAGTCCCCCGACTGAGAAAACGCAAGCCATCATGGATTATCCATCGCCACAACCCGTTAATAGCATACGCCGTTTTCTAGCCATGGTTAATTACTATGGACGGTTTACACATGGCTGCGTTGCAATTCTTCAACCTGTAACTGATTTGCTCAAGGGAATTTCCAAAAAATGTACGTTCAGATGCTGAAGCAGCCTATAAATCAGTCAAGCAAAAGCTGAGCCAAGCCACATCCCTTGCTTAGTTGAGAACGGACGACAGCTTAACTCTTATTCTTAAGACAGACGCTTCACAATCTGCCGTTGGTGCCGTATTGCAGCAGCTAGTGGGTGACGAAATACAACCCATACTTTTCTTCTCACAGAACCTTCAACCTGCCCAGACCAGGTACAGTACGTCCGGTCGCGAACTCCTTGCTATGTACCTGACTCTAAAGCAACTTCGTTATATCCCTGAGGGTCAACGTTTTGTTATCTTGACAGGTTATAAGTCCCTTGTGCATGCTTCTCGAGCAGGTTCTGACCGTCACTCTCCTAGGGAAACCCGACACCTGGACTTTCATTCTCAGTTTTGTGTTCACATTCACTATAATGATGGTCTTAACAACCGTTGCCGACGCACTAGCCCGTGCTTATATCCATCAGTTTTCACGCCCACCCATCGATCTTGAAGAAATGTCTGTTGACCAAGCCAGTCATCCAGAATTAACATAGCTTCGAGTTAACGCTATGTTAAAATTCTTGCAATCGCCCGTGCTTAATGCTGATGCAAGAATCTACTGTGATATTTTTACCGGTAAATCTAGACCTTTTGTTCCACAATCCTACCGGCGAGTGGTTTTTGACTATATGCACTGATTACCGCACCCCAGTATTCGATCTACTTTCAGACAAATTACCGACCGTTACATCTGGCTCAATATGCGCACAGACATCCGACAATGGTCAAAACCTTTCTTAGTTGTCAAACCAGCCAGGTTCACAGACACATGACCACAACTCCTGGCACTTTTTCATTCCCTGAAGCCCGATACATACACATACATTTTGATGTTGTAGGACAGTTACCCTCTTCGAACGGCTTCACTTGACTGTCAACTTGTGTCGATTGTTTTACTCGTTTTCCGCATGCGATTTTCTTACGTGATATTTCCGCAGAAACTGTTGCTCGTGCTTTGGTTCAACCGTGAACTTCATTCTTCGGTGTGCCAGCCACTGTCACTACTGACAGAGGAGCTCAATGTAGCTCCACTCTTTTTCGTGACTTGGTTGTACTCACTTCCAGACAACTGCCTATCATCCTGCTGCCGATGGCCCTGTCGAACGACAAATGAAAGCCGCCATTACAACTAGTTCGCCTGATACTCGTTTGTCTGAACGCCTTCCAGCTATTCGTCTTGATATTCGCAATACAGACGCTGCCCAGCCGAACTTGTTTTTAGCACAACCCTCAGACTCCCAGGCGAGATAATACTGGACTCACGAGTCACAGGGGAATTGAACCCTACATTCTGTGCTGAGCGCCACCTCCTCGACTAAGCACGCGCAAGCAGCAAACACATCCGGACTTACACAGATGTTCATTCGTCTTTACCCGCAAACGATGTTGTCTGAAGATCCTTGATGCCGACTTGCGAAGGTCCATACAAGAGGTCTTATCGCGGAACCCGAAATACTTCATGCTGGATAAGAATGGATCCGAGGAGTCCGTGAGCAGTGATCGTCTTAAACACGCATACGTCGAGTCAACGTTGGATAGTTCAGAATCAACCGCGAGCACTCACAGCACTCCTGTTCCTGGGCTTCTGCCCATTGACAAACGCCTAACCGAGTCCCCAACCTCGGAATCCCTGTGCCCCTCAAGAAACGATCCTATACACACGCGTGTTATTTCATTCCCCTTCAAATTAGCAAAAAATGTTTCACGAACACTATAACGAGCGTTGCTTATCAGCGCACGCTCTGGGGAAGGAGTTCTCTAGCGGTTATGATTACACTAGATTTTACCTTTGTTTTATCACTTCGTTACCGACCATTTTGTACCATTTGTTTGAATTTTGGCTGGCTAGTTGAACAACCTCCCCGTGGTGCCAGCTGGGTGATTCGGGATTATCCCGTTCCAGCAAATGGTTCGGCGGTAGTGTTCCAAGACGTTGTGGGATTTTGCCTAGCAAGTGTTCTCCCTATAAAAAGCTGCAGATATCTGTCTAATAACACTGATGTGGCGGATAACTCGCCACTAAATAAAGTCACTGCCTCTTCCCTTTCCGAAGAATCATCCCCACATCACGAACGTCATCCAATTCGAAGCGTACCTTTGATGGTGAACCCAGCGAACAAAAACAGTGATATTTACATACACACTCAACATGGCTACTTACACACACACTTAAACATACTTCTACATGTCTACGTACACACATAAATGCCTATGCTACCGATCGAATTGTAATAATTTGTGCAATTGCCGACCGTACGTGTCTGTATTACCATGATATCTTCGATGGAGTGCTTCGCAATGACGAAAACGAACTATTTATTTATTTATTTACAGCTACAACGCGCACGCGTCGTGCTGGTTTCGTCTGCTGCTGCCTGTGCTTGTGCTGCAGTAGTCGGATTTATGCTTTCGAATAGCTAGCCGAAATCTAACTGACGGTAACTGAAGGAAGGATTATAACGCAAGAATGCTTGAACTTTCTCTACTGTGAGCTTTTGCCTAAAACTGCCTTTTTCCTCAGGGCTCGAATATTTTACTTAACGGTCTACTACGGGCTAATGCATTGTACCGCTGCTTGTTTGTCATACGACTACCAGCAGTCGTACAAGGGCTAGGGATACTGAGAGGTCTCTTGTGCTTACGCACATTCGAACCGGTGGTTTGTAAATTACAAGTCAGGCGCCTTATGTCAATCGTCCACTATTCGTTGGTGACTGTGGGATGTGCTTAAAGTGATGATGTTTTTAATATGAACAAGTGTGGAGTGCATTAAGGAAAAACAATGTATCCTTTTAATCGCGTTCAATCTCACTAGTTGGATCGTTTCTGTGAATTTACAGTTACATTGCATTGAAGTACCAGCACAAAGTACCGATGCATTGCTGTTGAGGATGACTGTTTCAGAACAGAGTTCCCAAAGCTGCATTAATGATCACGCTACTGTAGGAGTCATGGGTAGACCGTTGCGCAGTAGATATTAGCAGATCGATCTCTGACCAATGGTGTCCACGAAGGGTTTTGTAAATGCCAAAACTGACGAGAAGTGTAGGTGTCTGCCAGTTGGTGGTTGCAGATATACCCTTCATCAGTTCACCAGGCTTTCTGTTGAAGCTGCACTATCCACAATGCCTAAGGGAAGCGCACATCGATGTTCTACGATGATGCTGATATCCAGACGGTGCTGCGCTTCGCTGAACAGAGCATCGGCTTTTATAACTGATAAAATGAAGATAAATTGGCTGGCAATCAGGACGGTTTATAAAATGCCCCACTGCACGGACCACACAAGTGCATACAGGCCAAATCCAAACAAACAGGAACTTAAATTCAAGTGACCCATACAGGTACTACTTGTTAATATTATTATGCCAGATTTATACCTACTTCCTTCGTTATATTTCTATTAAATTTTAGACCTCATAGTTTAACTTAATTGCGAACGAAGCGATCATAAATGTAATCATATTGGGTAATAATTGGCCAATTGAACTGAACCTGAGCAGTCGGAATGTTGTATCCTAATACAAAGCATCCAGTGAAAGAAGTAAATGCTGAAACAATGGTGCACATAGAATGGAGCACCGAAACAATCGAAAATGAACGACTTGGTCATCCACCATCAAAATGGCTGCAGAAAAACGATAAGTGGAAAATCCAAAAATAGTGTATACGAAAGGTGATATTGTAAAGTATTCGAAAAAAGAAAATGGAGCGGTGGTAGGAGTATGATGCTTATTCAATGATGAAAAGATACCACTGATACAATTGGGACAGAAAGTGAGTAAGAAGCATGTCTTTGAGCAGTTCAAGGGTTCAGAGGCTTCCCGTAGGCCAGAATGAAAGATTGAAATCTTGTTCTGAAACATGGGTGATCGGCAAACAATTTTGAAAGATTTGGAATTTCTGTAACATTGTTGCCATCAATCGAGACACTTTGCAGCTTGGGACACAACAACAACTCTTCGATTGCAGTGAAGTCATCAAGTCGATTCCTTTGAACAGATAACACAACAAGCGATGGAAGATGGCTGAGCCTGGCAAGGGAAGTAAGTCTATTGTCATCGAGGATTAGCTCCTGTAAACAAAGCAGATAACTGATGGTATCGGGTAAACGCACAAGGTTGTTGTTGGAGAAGTCTATTTTCGTCATAAGGGTATACCAATCCATATATCTGATGGAACCTAGGTGTAAATGCGCAAAAGAGATTTCACGCAACTGAGAACGGAACACACAAGTTAACGCATTTTGCTCGCGGTGAGCAGCCTTCATCTCCTTATAATAAGCAGCACGTTCGCGATCCACAGAAATGAGGGTTCTCAAAGCGTTTGCAACGTCATCATCAGAGTCATAAGGACGAACAAACCTAAGCAAGGCAATGAATGTGAGCAAAGCCCATTTGTTCTTGGGCTCCATACTAACGAGATCTCGAACATTTTCTAGTTCAGAGTGCAAACTTTCAGGCTCAACGGCTGGTGAAATCAACGGATTTAACAAACGAAGTGGATCTAGACCAACACGAGTAAGTGATTCTTTTTGCGTAGCGTATAGTTTACAGTTAAGGCAAAAGAGATGATGCGATTGGCAGCGCGGGTTACGAGATATTTCAGATTCGTGAGTTCCTGTGCTTGGAATGCAAACATTAACACTAAGTGTCAAGTGCTGAGGTTCAGACAATAATTTCTGATCAGGTAGAAGAGAGGAAGTTACGAGATCACAAGATATGGGGAGCCACCATACCGCAGACACATCTTCTTCAAGAACAGACCGCCAGCCTCCCAAATCATCTGCCGTAAAAGAAGCACACTCGCACAAAGAGGTAGTAACTTCTACTGTTACCTCAAGTTGTTCTAAGGCACTCCGGGGCTTCGGTGCCGTAAAAACCAAGACGATTCGTCCTAGTGGACGGGATATGTAGAGCTCGCGAATATACGTCGTTCGGACGCCCCGACCGAGAATCCACCAATAATAAAACCACGGACTCTGGTCACTGGGATCTGTGTAAACTGCATTGTGCAGCAGCTCCAACTCAGCTTTTGATAGACAAGGTCGAACAGGGAGGCAGATTGCTTTGGAGTCCAGAGTGGTCGGTGGAGGGCTGATAGGTAGGACTGCTCTGTAGAATGGATCTGACCGGCTCAGCAGTTCAGAGCGGTAGTGCCAGGCGGAATAATTGCTCATGTTTGTTCCTATTTCGTTCTCCGTGTACGCGAGTTCCGACTCAAGGGGCATTTTCCCATGGGATACAACGAAACGTTTGTAGTCCCAGCAGTGAAAATTGCGCTCGTCCTGCTTGAGGGTGGAAATACAAAACTCATTTTCGGATTCCCAAAGAGGATTTTCATGATGTTTCAAAATCCACATCCGGTGATGCCATACGCTATAGGACTTCGGAGATTTGACGAGACAACGTGCAGTGAGTTGCAACTCGTTGTCAAAAAGGGTGTTCGAGACAATCTGAGAACAATCGGTTTTTAATAAGTGCTTAAGTATCTCGCGACGGTAGTTCCACAGAGTTGTCATATCTGGTACAATTTCAACAGCCTTTTCGACAAGCTTCAGCTTATCGTCAGTATAAAGCCCGCTGCGACGAAATTGGAAGATTTCATCCAGAAGTGTTCGAAATTTATGTTCAGACTTCTCGCTGGAATCTTTCCGCAATTTTTCCTGTTCTGCTGTTCGTTTTACCTTCACGCGGCCATGCATTATGAGTCGGCTCTAAAATAAGCGCACAAGAGTGTAATATGTTTCCGGTCGAGGATTCCGAGGGATTCCGTGTCCAGTTCGTACGTAGATCGTAATAGACCAAGGGCTGCAATGCAAAACAAATATCTAGTAGGTGGCTGGATACTCATAACACAACCAAAAGAAACATGTGACTGGCTAATACTCCAGGCGAGCTGGATGTCGATATCACAACTGTCGAGGGAATGGAGCCTGATCTAAACGGATGGTGAGAATAAGCGAGTGTTGGATGAGAACGTAACGAGAAGGTAAAGAGAAAATCAAACAACAATGGCTGTCTAATTGAGGTTTAAAAATCTCTTATCTGAATGGAAGGTCGTCCTCTTCAGAAATGGCAATAGCAGTCTGTCTGCTAAGTATGGACCAGTCAGTCTGAGCTGCATCGTAGTCAAACTACTGGAAAAGCTAGTGAGAGATTCGTTGGAGGGTCATCTGAATAGATTGCATCTACTCAGTAATGCACAACACGGATTCCGAAGGGATTCTCATGTCTAACGAATTAATTGTTAGCTCTTAAGAGTTAGGCTGGTGCAGTGAACAACAAATAAGTACTGAACGTAGTTTTCCTGGATCTCGAGAAAGCATCTTACATGGTACCCTACTTGAGGCTATCACAAAACCTGAGCTCTTACGTTGTATCTGAAAACGCCCTTCACTGTGTGTCTGCATTCTTGAAGAGAAAAGAACAAAGTATATGCGTGAGTCGCAGCCTATCATTTAGGCAAGCGGCCCAAGGCGGTATCTCGAAGGGCTCAGTCCTTGGACCGATGCTGTTCTCCGTCTATGTAAACGATCTCCTCGGGCAGCTTGGGGTATCATCGCTATTAGTTGCTGACGACCTAAGCGTGTGAAATGTAGATGTACCTGAGGATTCTGAGCAAATATATATCCCCGGTGTGGCTGCGTTTGATATGCATGTTGACAAGGTGTCTACCTGTCTAGTACCCACTACCTCGTCCATACTGGCTCCAGGAGACAATTGGTCGTTGCTGCAGGGGACGGGTGCATGGTCCTTCAGACCGTGCTAGGCTCGAAGAGTGGTTTCATGCACTCAGTGTGGAGCGGACTACGGTCCAGCCACCGCCTTGTGTGTGCTTGATTCCCAAATATGGGCAGCTTGCGCTGCACCACCCACAGCTACAATCATACTCCATATCCAGTGTAAACCTGAAGGAATAAGGCCGGGAGGTATGTGCATGGAAGGCACGTTTTATCAACTGAGCCGGCCCACACTCCTGCACAGGCAAACACAAGCACGTTGTATTTGGTAAACAATCGCACACAAGGCGGTGGCTGGACCATAATCTACTCCAAAACTGAGTGCATGGAACCACTCTTCAAGCCTAGCACGGTCTGAAGGACCATGTACCCGTCCCCTGCAGCAACGACCAATTGTCTCCCATAGCCAGTATGGAAGAGGTAGTGGGTAAGAGACAGGTAGACCTCTTGTCAACATACACATGAAGCGTAGCCACACCGGGGATATCAAGTAACAGCCAAGCACTTGAAATGACAACAGCAAATAAAATAAATCAAATAATGCAATACAGATACGGCGACATAACGACTCAATAAATGAGCATATGAAATAAAGTGGTTACGAACAACTCCGCGATAAGCTCAAGGCGTCAGAAATATATTGTAGAAAACTGCCACGAACACGAAAATGCTATCGAAGTTAACTAAAGTAATTTAAGGGACGTGTGCAAGCTTATGGAACCTAGTTCAGGTGGACAATCATATGAGATAAAAAAGCGTTAGGACAATATAGCAAACTCAGACGCCCTAACTGTACGTTCAAACCCCCTGCAAGTAATATAATATCTGAACTAGTAGCACTGCGTAGTAGCGCGTTCTGTTTGTGATAGAATGTGTCCTTGATAGCATTAGAACTGCAGTCACTGGGAGCATAAACGGAAATCACAAACAAACAGCGTTTTGAATTACTCTACCTTAGCTGATGTCGTCAGACGGGCTGTTCACCGGAATCCAATCAACCAACGATAGCTCAGACTTGGAGCTGAGAATGATACCTACACCAGCTTGACCTGTGAGTGCTGCATCGGCGTCTCCGGATGCGTGCAACCAATAACAAGAGGATAAGCCGGGTGCAGTTAATTCAACAACCCCATTATGGCCATTGATCCTCGTTTCGGACACACAACACATTAAGACCCAGTGTGTTCAAGGTAAGTGCGAGTGCAGCCTGTTGAGCTGTTTGTCTTAGAGTGAGAACGTTGAATGTCGACATGAAAACGGAACAGCGTGGTCTTATAAGAGATTTTTGCCGATAGGTGCTGTGTGATGGTGACTGTAGATGGTTCTACTCCAGTGGCACTCCGGTTGTCAATTAAGCTAGGAATTATAGGACGAAGATTAAATATGGGGGTCGGCATGGGAGTAAAAGAAACAGGTGGATAAGAAAGAAGGGAGGCGTCGGCAGTAGCATATTTTCGCTTATCCGCCCTGCTGTATGCAGCAGATAAGGCGACCCTTGATAAACTGAGCGACGGCCGATGCAGGATGAAGTTTATGTTTGAAGAAAATGTCATGGTTGTATGTGGGCTGGGATACTGCCAGGGCGCCCAGACCTAGACAGGAGGATGATTAGGGTCCTCATCCAAAGCTTTTGGCTCCAAAGCCTGTCCGCAAAACAGCGGAGAGATTGCAATGATTTAGTTTTATAGAAATGGACGCCATCCCATTTCAAACCCCCAATCTGGAGGACCAGGAGACTGAGTTTGTCTGACCTCTCACCATTGACCAACCTGGGAGGAGTAGCTCTCAAGGTGCCCTGAGGCATCACACAGTATAGCTCAATGGATCAAGGAGGTACTCAAACCGTCGCTTCACGTTAAGGGCCAGTCTCTTTGCGACAGGCAACATGGAAGCTGTAACAATTTCTGACAATATGAATCATTTCTTTCGTTTCGCCGTTTAGCTTCCAGCTAGCGCTATCCACCAGCCAATATTGCGCAATTCGGAAGGCCAAATCATCCCCGATACGGAAGGAAAACTTTCCAGATGGGTAGAGTATTTTAGCAACCTACTAAACCACCCAGTACACATCACCGCATCCAGTTCAGCATTAACCCAGTCAGGATATGACGCAGAATATTCGCCGCCATCTCCCACAAAAATTGCAGACATCGTTCGTGGTCTGAAGCCGAAGAAAGCTCCTGGAGCATACGGGATTCCAGCCGAAATCTACAAATCTTATCTACCAGTCCTCCTTGTCTTTTTGCACGAGCTCTTCTGCTCGATTTGAGAGACCGAAAACTGTCTTTCCCCGTGGAGTACCTCAGTACTACTATCATTTCCCAAGAAATGTGACCGAACTGTGTGCAGTAATTATCACAGGATTAGCCCAATCGATGTGGCTGCCAAAACCTTTGCACGAATCTCGCTTGCCCGCTTTGCCAATGGGAGGAACCTGCGAACTCATCATAATCAAGGTGGCTTTCGTCCAGACAGAGCCTGCACTGACCACATCTCTCTACGCCGGGTACTCGAACACCGCTATCAGTTCCAGCAGCCCAAGTTTGTGAACTGCCTTTGACTCAGCTGACCATGAAGCACTCTGGAGAGTCCTACTTGCCGAGGGTGTGCCGGTCCAACTCGTTAACTGAATGAGATCATACTACCGTTGCACAAAGGCCCGGATTCGGGTCTATGGAGAAGAAACAAAGGAACTCGACATCAATATTGGAGTCCGGCAGGGTTGCTTACTTTCTCCAGTGCTGTTCAAGTTCGCAGTCGATTGGGTTATGTATCATGTCCTTGAGGACTATCGTGGTGTTCAAGTTAGCCCTGACTTCTGGCCGTCAGATCTAGAGTTTGTTGACGGTATCGCTATGCTTGCGGAAGATGCTATATCACTACAGTCACTGCTAAATCGGGTCGACCAATCAGCCTCTATGATCGGCCTCGAAATTAACATCAGCAAGACGAAGTACTTCTCATCGTTAGCCACCCAGTCCGCCCCATCGCTCTCCTTACACGGACAACTTATCGACTCCGTTCCTGAGTTCAAGTATCTTGGATTCACTATACTCCCCAATGGTCAGGTTACATCCAAAATCCGGAAGCGCACTGACAGCGTTAAAACAGCCTTCTTACAACTGAGAAACATGTTGTGGCGAAGGACGGAAAATAGTCTGAGAACGAAGATCCGAGTATTCCCAGCAACCATTCGTGCTATTTTACTTTATGGTTGCGAAACATGGCCGCTGCGATCCGAAGACACCCGGAAGCTGGAAGTCTTCGACCACTGGTGTCTAAGGCTTAACTTGAAAATGCAGTGGCATGAGCGTACCACCAATGACAAAATCCGTAAGCGTTGTTACCGTCTTCCGAAGCTCTCACCGCTCATCCAAAGCCACAGACCTCAGTGGTTCCATCACGTTCTCTGCAGACCAGCCACTGACTTCATTAGTCCGTGGTTTTACCCTCACCTTGCCAATGTTGGTGTCGTCGCCGTGATGGACGACTGAAGAGGTGGCTCGCAGCAGTCAAATCGGATGTCGATCTTCTGGGACTCCATGTTGTGCATGGTGCTCACCAATGGAGGGATCGTTGGATCAGTATCTGCGACTCGGGACATTCATGAAGCCTGCTCACCTTGTCGAAGGAGTTAGCCGCAGTAAACTAAGTAAGTAAGCTGGTGGTTATTTCACACACAATACTCAAGCTTCCCGATTGCCGCCGCTGCCTTCGACACGCGGAAACGAAGCTCACGGTGTATCTGTTGGTCAGTCGAAACAGCATTCCCATCGCGACGAGACTGGACGTTAACGTGGTGCGATGGTTCGTGTGCCTCAGTGATCCATTGAGCTATGCTGCATGATGCTTTTTGCACCTTCAGAGTCACTCATACCAGATTGGTTAATGATTAGAGGCCGGACAAACTCAGCCTCCTGGTCCTCCAGGTTGGGAGTTGGAATGAGGGTGGCTCCTTATTC